CTTTTTAATTATTTTTCTTCTCCACCTTGACTCTTTCATTCTACTGTCTTTCATTATTTTTCATCTTTTGGTGCCTTTTCACACTTTTTCTTTCTTTTTGTTATGATTTTCATCTTTACTTTCTATTAATTTCTTCATTCTCTCCTTTATTCAGCTTTAAAAATTATATCTTTTCACTTTTTCACTAATTTTCTTATTATTTGTTTTTCATTTCTTTTTTATCAAAATTCTACCTTACACTTTTTCTTTCTTTTATTTTCCACATGTTTTCTTTCTCATTAATGCAGCTCTCATTATCTTAGACCCTTCCCCACTTCTCTTTCTACTTCTCTCAGCCTTTGCCTACACCTTTTTTTTTTTTGAACCAAGCCTCATTGGCCCTACAGGTGGCAATATATTAGACAAAAAAGAAAAATTTTCTTCTGGAAAAATCAGTATTCGGCTAAAAATTAAAATGTTTTCATTTCCTGGAGTGCAGAAAATATATGTATGGACTTTAAAAATTTTTTTTCTTTCTTTATTACAGGAGCACCTCCTCCCATGAAAAGTCCTCCCCAAAATCAAACATCTAAACAAAACTGAAACAATAAAGAAACATGCTTTTAAAGACAGAGAGTGTGTGGGGAAGTCGACTGTCATTCATCACACACACACACACACACACAGAAGCAGTGATACAAACTTTCTCTAGCATAATAAGTTTGGTTAATTGAATTCATATACATATGAATACATATATGTGTATGGTTTCTCAAGTGATGTTATAGTTGTTTTTACTCTTTATGAACAAAAAGACAGGGAGAATATGACTTGGAAGATTGAAATTTCATCAGGAAGCATTGAAAAGAGAAAAGGACGCCTTGAAGATAACATTTGCATGCTGGGATACATTTAGCTAGCTATCAGCTGAAATTTTTGCCAAAAACAAAGAAGCAGCAACATTTAAAGTTTATTACAAACAAGCAATTAAAACAAATATGTAGCTTCCCAAGGAATCTCCAATGAGAATTTAAAGAAAAAGAAGCAAAATAAAAGATAGAAACGTTTATCAGAGTCGCATATACAGGTTGAGTAAAGTCCAATTTGAAAAGACTGGTGATTATGATGGTGGTTCAAGGAGAGTTTAAAGATATGTGATTAATTTTTGAGGCATTTAAGTTTTAAAAAATTCTTGAATTATAATAGAATTGATTAGAATTTCACTTGCCTCAGTTATTAATACTTTCTTCTTATTGTACATTATATATATATATATATATATATATATATATATATATACACACACACACACACACATTGATTATAACATTAATCAACTAGGTGAGAAATTTTATATTTGTATTAATCCCATATATATATATATATATGATGATTGTCACTTTGCAGAAGACATTCTCTTCACTTGGTAGCTTTTTATTGTGCTTATTTTATTCAGAATTTTCATTCATATATATATATATATATATATATATATATATATATATATATATATATATATGATTGTCACTTCTTTGCAGAAGACCAACTCTTCACTTAGTAACGATTTTTTGTGTATTTTTCATTCGGTATTTTCATTCACAAATATATATACATACATCTATATGCATAAACATACATACACACACATTTTCATAAAGATTACAGAGTGAAAGGTGTTAGATAATACTAAAATAATTAGAGAATGTTACTTATGTTGAATAAATTTAACATGAAATTTTCATGATGGAATTTGTATATATAATAAAGATTATATTAGTTTGAAATATTTGGTATTCATTCATTTCTTACTTATAAGTAAAATAAAAAAAATACATTCTGAATCATGTTAATACAAATTTAAAAAATAAAAAACAAATTAAAATCACAGCATTACTGGCAACAGATCTTTGCTTCAGTAACACATTTCTGTATATTGGTAATGGTATTATTAGCCATTTCCTTATAAGGAAACATTTTGGCATTTATTGATGAACTGCCAGTACTAATGTCAATTGACATTTATTAAATCTTTCCCATAAAACAATATATAGCTCTATAAATGTAAATATAAAATAGTGCACAGTGAGTGCTGGTAGTAATAAAAAAAATTCCTTGATGTAAAATAACAGTGTTAATTATTATACTACTAATAATTATGTATTCTTTCCTCTCCTCATAATGCTACTCAGAGTTTCATGTATCTAGCGATAGTCAAGCACAAGTTCTATAATTATATGCATTTTTCATAAGTTAGTTAATTTGAGACAGAATTATGATTGACTGTTTTAAAGAAGCTTTAGAATTATATGAATTATGAACCTGTTTCACATATGTATATAAAGAAACAAGTAACTATATTTATTATGAGATCTTAAGATATATTTGATGGCTTTATTTTCCGAAAATTTACAGAAAGAAATATTCTCATCTGGTATTAGGTTAGATTATTGTTTAAATACAACAAACAAAAGCTAAATTCAATAGTTCTTTTAATGTAAGCAAACAATGTATCAACATCAAGAAGCTAGTCAAACGAATTACGTTTATTGATACTTCTATTCAACTCCAAATTAATGTAAGCCATAAGATTCCTATTTTTGGAATTTGTACACAAGTATACTTTCCCATAAGGAGAACTAAATATTACTGACAGAAATACATTAGAGGATATTGAGAAAAATAACCACAGATCTAACATTACTTAATGTTCAATATCTTTCAAGGTAGAGTTTCATGATTGAATGAATGATAATCAGAATTTTTTATTATTATTATTATTATTATTATTATCAGTGATTCAAAAATAAGGCATTGGATATTTTTTTAGTTTTTGTAATTAAATTCTGATCAAGCGATATCAATATGTATGTAATAATACAATTATTTCATGACAGCTTTATCTTCTTTTCTTTTTTCTTCTATTTATACAGCAAATACAGAAGAAATGCTAAGCATTAATAAGAATCCTGTAACAGCAAGCAAGACTGGATTTACAGATGTATTAACATTCAGCTATTTGATTCTTTTTCTAACTTTAGCATCTTTTTTCTTTTATAATTTGAGAATTTGCAAAGCTGAAATTAGCATTTGATTCCACCTCAGTAATTAATGAAGGCTTACAGGCGAGAAGGGCGGCCATATTGAATTGAGATCCAACCAGTCAAGAAAAAGAAAGAAATAATCCACTGAAAAAACAGATTATAATTAGGAAAAGATCAAAGACTTTAGGATGTGTGATGTTTCTTTCTCTCTCTTTCGTTTTTCTTTTTTTTTTCAATTTCCTTCTTACCCAGGGACCCAAAATCTTATAACTAGGTCTCATACCCATAACCAACATACCCACTCTCCTTTTCTCTTAGAATATAATTATGTCTAGTTCTGCACAACTGCAACAACCAAATTTATTTCGCCAATTTTTCTGAAATAGAAAATTCTGTTGATAGGCATAACGAAGATGTGTCTCTGTTCATAAGAGGATAAATCTTTACTCTCAAAAACTGCCTCATTGCATACTATAAAACATTCTTCTTCTATGTGCCATGTCCCTTCAGGATGTGGTGATCATGGCTCTCCATAATTTCCTGTAATTTGTGGCTATAACTAAGGTTTGTCTTTTTATTATTTCTACTAATCCTTGCAATGCCAACTAATTATAAAAGTAGATTAGGTAGGTTATTCACTGCTTTTCTCTGTCCTGCTTGTCTTCAATATGTCCTGTGAGTATCAAATTTTACAAGTCCACTTTTCTTATTAGGTGCCATATAAATTTCAATTATCTTTTTCTAATGCTAAGTATAAGTCTCCTTATTTTTTGTTTCCATTTTCTATAAAACTTTGTCATTGATCATGTTCAGTCCAAGGTATTTTCAGCATCCTTCATTTCTGTTGCTTCAAGTCTCTTCTTCATCTGTGAGGAGATTGTCCAGCATTCACTACCATATAGGAAGACTAATATTATATAACAGTTCAGTACTCTTTGTTTCTAACAAAATTTCCTGGGTTTTAATACTTTGCTTAGTTTTTGGGAGGTATAGCTCACTATGCCAATGTGCCTTTAGATTTCAGTGTTGAATTTTCCATTGTCTGTTAAAATACTTCCCAAATATTTAAATTTTTGTAATTACTTTAAAAGTACTGCTTTTCTAATAAAGAAACAAAACTGCATTTTAAAAGTTTACAGCAAAAATAAATATATTGGTTGATTTTGATAGCAATATTGGTAGTTGTGGTGGTTATTTGCTTTATGACAATTTACTGCTTGTTTTTTCTTCTTCAATGTCCTGTATCTTGTCAGGATATTAGCAATCTTGAATCTCCACATTCCTGTCCTTTGTAGCTCTTAATAAATTTTGTCTTTTTGCTATCTCTCCTAAACCCTGTTCTACCATTCATTTACTCAAGCTTTCTAGGTAGGTTGTGTGTTGTTTTCTTTTGTCCACCTTGTATTCAATCTACCATGTGAGTATTAAACTTTCTAAACCGTCTTTCCTCATTATGTGTCCTATAAATTTCAACTGCCTCTTCCTGGTGTTAAGTATAAGTGACTTTTTTGTTTCCATCTTCTCTAAAACTTTGTTGTGTTCATGTTTGGTCCATGGTATTTTCAGGATCCTTCTGTAGAACCACATTTCTGTTGCTTCAAGTTTCTTTTTCATATGTGATGAAATTGTCCAGTATTTACTGCCATATAGAAGTTTGAAAATTATTTGAATCCTAAACTGAAGTATAATTATTTTTAATGATTACAGGAGAGACAGACAAGTTACATTGATTGATTGTTTTTTTTATCGCTTATCAACCTTTTGAAGGTTATTTAAAGGCAGAAAATATATTTAGATTATAAGAATTTTTTGATGATTTACTGATAGCATGTCCTACTAAATAACGCATAGCTGTGGCAGGGGGATACCTTTCCCAAGGGTATTTGTTAGCATGTAAGTTAATACAATGAACCTTACTAGATTTGAAACTTTGATTTCCAATTCTGAGATGTTATCCATTACACCACCCACACATCCAAGCTTACAGCACCTGGTATTCTCAAGTAGTCACCCATTTAGGTATTGACTGGGCTCAATGTTGCTTAACAATGGTGATCATTATGAGAACTAGTGTTTCAACATGATATGGCCATAAGCCCCATACAAGCTACAAGCCTAGATTTAAAATTTCTGACTTAACATTAATTTTTTTTTTTTATTTACTACGTACAGGTAATTCCTCTCTGAATGAATTCCATAATAACTCATCTGAGAATTCTTTTTAATTTTATATCTCTTCAGGACATAAGTGATCATGCATCACCACAGATTTGTTTTAGATTTGATTATCTGCGAATTACCATGATTTCTTGAGATAAAATACAGGAGTATTTTTCCTTTGCTTTCTACACAGTGTGAAATTCTGAGTAGTCAGAATTTCAGTTATTGGATTTAACAGGTATTTATGGAATTATTTATTATTTAACAGGTATTTATGGAATTAGATGTTATTTTCAATTTGTATTTTGAGTAAATCTTGGGAAAATAAATTAAAATTCACCAGAATAATCTAATATTTACACATGAAAACCAAATTAGTTACATTCCATCATCACTGCTCGAACCCTAAACTACCACCAGTCATGATGAATGGATATCCCCTCGGGGAAGCTCCCTGCCTTGAGCAACTATTGGGTCCCAAACTCAACCCAGATCTCAAGTGAAGCTTGTAAATACAATCCATCACTACAGATGCAGGAAAAATGGTCAGCTCCCTTTTCTATTCCAGCAAGTACCTGACTCCTCTTGCTATCCCCTATCTTTACAAGAGTCAGATCACATCTAAAATGGAGTACTGCTGTCATATTTGGTCAAGAGCTACCCAGTCCTCACTTTTCAGTCTCAATAGACTCCAAAAGTGTCTCCGTCCTTGTGGGTGACAAATTATTTTCCTTCCTGCAACCCTCTCTCTCTCACAGACGAGATGTAGCACATCTCTCATTGTGCTATCACTACTTCCATAGAAAGTAATTGAATGAATTATATTTCTTGGTTCTACCAGTTCTAACCTTTATGGTCAGGACCCACACATTGTAGCAAACCACCCACATTCCTTCCATGTTCCACTAGTGAGAAATAAATTCCACTCAAACAGCTCCTTCCTGTGAACCACTTGTCTGTGGAAGCAACTCCCAAGTGGATGTTTTCCTGATCACTACAATCCTAACCTGTTTAAGTCTAGAGTTAACTGTTATCTCCCCCACCTATTTGCATAAACTGTACCTCTTACTCTGTAACACTATCTGAATTGGCTCCTGGGCCTTGTCCAGGGTAAACTGTAAAAAAAAAAAAAATCATCTTCTTACCTTTGTCATTTGAAAAGAAAATTTCTTAAATAAAAAAATAAAAAATGACCAAAAAATATGGGTTCTTAAAGACAAGTGGCATTCTTCTGCAGATCACATCATGACCAAGAAAAAGAAAACAAGGAAAAATTTAAACCCTGACATAATTTAATAAGAAAGATTGAAAAATTTATCAAAATTAATTTGCAAAATGTGAATTAATTTTTCATGCTGGGAATATACTGTAATATTTGCTATGGTACCTAGACTTTTTGAATTTAAGCACAGTACTAGACTGGCGTCAAGATCCCATCAATTCATAGTTGAGCTGGCTAATTGTAACTGTAAGTTCTATGTAAACAGTTTTTTTTCTCACACTTCTCACTTATGTACCTCTCTTCTGGTGCCATGCTTTCTAGCCAACTTTAATCTGTAAAAATTTAAATGCAATGTCAATTGCTATCTACTGTTCTCCTGATTACTCTTTTCTCTTTCCACTCATTATTAATGCTTCTGCTTCTAATTCTTCCACTCCCTGTAACCACTTGTTTCTTAGTGGCTTTACTGTTTTGCATGGGGTAATACTGATTAAAAAAAATAGTTAATGTATTTAACACTTCTGTTTCCTCTCTCTCCTCAGTAGCAAGGTTAGTTTTATTACCAGCTAATACCAAAACTCAGTTCTATGGCAACAGCTGAACCAATCTGCAATGCAGAGATCTTGAAAGCAGTTGTAGATGCCAAGAATAGCCCATGTTCTAAAGCTGCACCTTTACAATAAACAAGGTCAAGTTGCTACACAATATGAATAGTTGCTACACATAATTTTATTATTAATGAAACAATATATGCATCAATAATAATTTTTGCTGGTTCGTTTTAAATTTGGCAACTTTTTAATGTGCTATGTTCCTTCAGGACTTGGGTGATCCTCATTCTCCACAACTTCCTATATTTATAGTTCTAAGTAATGTTTATCCCCTTACTATCTGTCCAAGTCTCTGTACTGTTATATATTTATATAAAAGATCAATAAATAGGTTACTTGATGTTTGCTACTAACCTTTTGCTTTGAATATGTTCTGTAAGTTTCAAATTATCCAAGCTTCTTTCCTCATTATATCCCAGAAATTTCAACTCTTTTGGATTCTAAGTAAAAGTGTCCTTTTTGCTGCCATTTTCCTTAGAACTTCCACATTGCTCACACACTCCATCTCTGGTATTCTCAGCCTCCTTCTGTTGAACCATATCTCTGTTGCCAAATTTTTATTAGAAGAGCAAAACTATTTTTAAAAATTGACTGTGTGTTTATATACTGTGTTAGGTTAAATAATATTTTTGTAAAGAGTTGACACCTTAGCATTAACCTGCATAACTTTTCTATCGCATTTCATGCTAACTTACCTAAATAGCCTATAGAAGCTATAGATAATAAATAACCTTATAAATATTTACTTACATTCATTTTTATAAATGACAAACATCTGCCATTGCTTTTTTATCTTTAATTTCTAGAGTCTCAAAATACCTGTTGAGGTCACTAAAATTTTGAACTCTTCCACACCTCCTTGTATATAGACAGATTCAAATGAATATCTATATCTAGACTGTCAGCTGTACACAACCACATCCTCAGATCTATAGTTAAAAATGGCTTTGAGTGAATGTAGGTCTTAATAAGGACAATCAGTCTTTGAACATTGTGGACTATTGCTATAATATCAGAAACAAATACGTGTATCAAATAAAAGAAACCACATCACTTGAGGGCTTTTAGCAACAGTAACAACTTGTTATATTCTGTGCTAATAGGAATATATACTTGAAAAACAAGGTGGATAAAATAAGTAAAGGTTTATTGTAAAAAGCCAGTACAATAAGAATAAAGGTAACAGTTATGCACAAGGTTGTCACAAGTCAATCCAGCAGTGAGTGCTATTATTGGAAGGTTGGTAGTTCTCACTTAAGTCTTACTCAACAGATCCCAGCTAGTATATTTAGCTACCCCCCATGAGTGCTGCATGTGGCACAAGGCCAGTTTAACGTGGGTTCTCCGTGCCTGTAGGCTAGGGCAACAATATTCTCTTTTTGAACCCGCATAAGGGGCAGTCTACCTCCCTGAACGAGACACTGCCCTTTGGCGGAGCCTCGTCCGGGATCCTCTCTGCCCGAAGACAGAGAGTTTGATTGTTTAGCTGGAACAGGTCGCAGCTAGTATACTTAGCTACCCCCGCCACGAGGGTTGCATGTGGCACAAGGCTGGTTTACTATGGGTTCTTTGACCCCATAGGCTCGGCCCAAAATATTCCCCTTTTGAACCTGCATAAACGGGTTCAGGGGCAGTCTACCTCCCCGAACGAGACTTTGCCCTTCGGTGGAGCCTCGTCCAGGTTCCTTTCTGCCCGAAGGCAGACAGTTCGACTGTTCAGCTGGAACAGGTCGCAGCTAATCTCTGTAGTCCATTGACTTATAAATACTTATAGATAGTTACTACCTATAGTGTAGTCACTCATGGGGGTGACAGGTTATTCCATTACATCACAACTAAAATGGATATCACCTGTAACTTGAAGAAAAAAATAATGAAACAATTAAGATGTTGACATTCCACACAACTTCAAACAAAAGGTCAGGAAAGAAAGCCCTATCAATACTGGAAAGGGTGCTAACAGCTACTAGACTTAAGAAATCTATTTTTCTGAAAAATTGTTTCACTCAAAAGATTTGATAAATTTCAACTGAAAGTAGCACTAGTTGCTCGGTCAATGAATGCTGAATGTTTCTTTATAAGGAAACAGCTAATATTACTATTGGCATGTCATAAATATTTAAAAAAAAAAAAGAGAGTAGACATACTATGATGAGAAATAGCTTTTTTTATACTGTTGTTCATCCAATACAAGGCACAAGAGCCACTGAAGGTATAGGATTACTGAATGAGATTGTTGAAAGGGCATAATGGAGGAAGTAATATTACAAAGCAAGTAATCTTGCTGCTTATAAAATATTATAATACATGCACCAACTCATCATAGACTAGTGTCTAACAAGCTAGTTTATCTTTTACTACCATAATGAGTTTGATCCTTACTATGTGCTCCACAATTGTGACTTTGTGCCAACTAAACTAAGTTTACTAAATAAATATATTTACTAAGTATATTATTAAAGTTAAGACCAGTAAATTAACTCATGATATGGCTTGTATTTTCTTGTTTGGCTAATTACTGAAATTATATTTTTTCTTGGAATAGAAAAGCCGGAATAGAGATATACACATTGTGTGTGTGTGTGTGTTTGTAGGATGTATAATAGGATCCAAAACAAAAGTGAAGATAAGACAAGAGAAAGCTTATGTCCTCTTTGAGAAAATTCTACAATACCAAATGGTTCTAATACAGATATAGATAAAACAAACAAGCAGACAGAGAGACTTTCTTCAAGTGAGACTTGAAGTCAGGAAGTGATAAGGTAGGGTAATTAATGTGATTTATGATATCGACTTATCCTCAGAGATCCCAAGACATTTTTTAAATTTTGTCTTCCTTTTAGTCAAACTGATGAGGCCAAGCTTTCTTTCATAAAATATTTCCACTTTGTTTAATCATCTTCACATTGATATGTGCTATACACCACAAAATTAGTTTTTGATGACAAGTAGCTTTGGCAATAAGGTTATTTGTCATTCATGTAAAAGTAAAACCATTCAAATTTCTCTATTAAATAAACATCTACTTTTTTTTTTTAATCAGTGTAGCCAAGACAGGCTTGTAACTGTCTCTGAAATGAGAAGTCGGAGTAAAGCAGACTG